ATATATACCTTGATTCACATTCTTCTAAATTTTCTGATTTTCTTAAAATTTTATTTGGCATCTTTACTGTCTGCTTCAATTTTTCTGCAATTTTTTATAGCTTTGTAAGCTGTCTACCTAGGCTAGCCCGCAAAGGTTAATGTAAACAGCCTGCATCTTCAAACAAGTTAAAAGTCGATATATGCAAAATATTTGTAAGCCGAAATGATGCTAAATAAAAACCTTATCTTGTCTTGTCTTACAACCAATGGTAACCCGCTGCCCACTAGGCCAACACCTCCCCTCTTCTGTTTCGCCTTGTTTGCCTCTAATTGGCTATGATTGAGTATGACCTTGGGTTTATCTTTGGGTCGTATACTTTGTCATTCACCCATGGTTTTCCACTCTGTTGCGGTGGCGGTTTAGCGTACACATATCTACCGATGCTTACAGGTTTGTGTTCCGGACCTGCTGCTCTATGGTAATATTGCTTGCTTTCGTCCCGTTTGTTCATGATGCTCTGTATTACTGTGGAGTGGTCAATGTTCCCGGGAGATAAGAGGTGGTCACTTGTGGACAGAGTTGTCCGTGTCCGGCGGAAAAACATGCGTTGAGAGGTTGTTTCTGTGATTCAATAAGGCGCTGTGAAAATCCTCCAACTTCTTGAGCATAGATTTGGCAACCTTTACAGCTGCTTCTGCTTTCCCGTTTCCTTGTGGATGGTATGGTGACGAGGTTGTGTGTTTGAACCCGAATGTTGCAAAATCGTCGTACTCTTCGCTAGCCAATTGGGAGTCATTGTTTGTGTGACATATCTTTGGGATCCCGAAGCAAGTGAAGTGGTCTTTGGTCTTCTGTATAACTGTGCTGGACATGATGCCTTTTAATTTGTCTACTTCAAGCCAACCTGAGAAGTGGCACACAGTGACTAGGTAATTCTGTTGGTTAAGTGTAAAGATGTCTTGGCTTACTATCTGCCAAGGCATTGTTGGTATTGGTAGAGATTTCATTGGTTCCTTTTGTTCTGTTTCCCATATTGTGCGCATGTGCTGCATGCATCGCATGTGTCCTGAATAGCTTTCATCATGCCGGGCCAGAATAGTATTTCACGTGCCATGCGAATGTTGGATTTAGCTCCGAAGTGTTTGACATGTATTTTGTTTAGCATCTTCGAGTACATGAATTGAGGGACCATGACTTGAGCGCCTTTGTAAACGATTCCATTCTTTGAGGTGAGCTCGTCTCGATAGTTCCAAAATTGGTTTAGTACTGTGTCAACTCGTGACTTGTCATCCGGCCAACCTTGATTTATTTTTGTCTGCAGCTTGGTCAAGGTCAGGTCTTTACTTGTTTCTTCCCGTAATCGTTCCTTGGTATGGTCGAGGAGTCTTGGGTTGCTTTCATGATAT